TAGAATAAACTTTAAGATGCAACTAAGTGCTTTAAGGGCTTTTTCTTTTTACTTTCATTCTAGAATCAGGTTTATTAACTTTTAAGTCCTACTTGCCTAGCATTTCTTGACTCGAGCTACAAGAACCAAATTAAATTTCACTTCAATAATTTGACAATTTCTCTTAATGTTTCTCTAACTAGATTCTTTGGACTAGCTGTTAAGAGTTTCATTTTGTAATTACCAGTAATTACAGTAATTCATGTAAGCATACTCCCAACCACCTTGACTTCCACTTATAATAAAGTACTACATGATTTCAATATCCATTGTATTTAGGCTTATGCTTTTATTGGCAATACTGTCTTAGACAAATATGAACAGAAATAGATATGGACATGTCTTCTGGACATGTGGAATGAAATGATAATAGCTAATGAATGAAAATGGTCATCCAATGTTTTTATTAGAGGAGAATTAAGCCATGCTGGGACATAAACAATTAGTACAGTCGTGAAATTTGAAAAAACTTTAAGTGAGGCATTTAGTCTGGTATTTGTTTCAAGAGGAAAGCTTGCCAAAAATAAAAATCACAAAGCTCATACACACACTTTAATACTTTGTATATTTTACTTATCTGAAATAAGTATATGAAGCATCTTACCTCTTCTTACTTCTAGTCTCTGCAATATACTTTGTATACATCCTTCACATCACTTGTGAGTATAATCTGTTCAGGCTTTTTTGTGTTAAACATCCAAGCTGCCTTATTTCAGTCCCTAAAGCGTAAAAGGGGCATAGAATAATCATGTCTTTCAGCTCTGCCCCGATTCTTTTTCAATCTTGTTTTCTCTCATGCATGCGCATTCACATCCCGAGTACTTGTAGTTCTCTGATTTACCAGGTCATCTTCTCCACTTCTGTTGTTCCCTCAGCCTAGAAGCCTTCCTTGCATTTTCAGCATTGCCTTACTTTCCTCCTCTTACTTAACACAACTCTTTTCTTCAGAGAAACTTGCCCTGACTAATTCCATCCGAATTAGATATGTTAATACTGCTCTGAGCACAAACTTATGTCCTTGAAAGCACTCTGTAGTATACTAGGACATATTGCTCTTCCCACTGAAAAGGCTTTGTTAAGCTGGGGATGGTGGTACATGCCTGTAATCCTAGCACATGAGTTGACTGAGGCAGGACAGCCTCAGCTGCATAATGAGTTTAGGCCAGTTAAGGCAACATAGCTATAACCAGTCCCCAAAATCAAACACCAAAGAAACAAAACAAAGAAAGCTGTCTAGGTCTTTCATCTATGTATCTTCAGAACCTGGCACAGTGAGTAGTACATATTTCAAATATTTTAAATATTTAGAAAACTAGGAGTGACCTATCAACAGATACCTATTACATTAATATTCTTTGGACTAGACCTGAAAGATTCCCCCATGTGGCCTATTTGGTCCTAATCATCACTGCATGACAGTACAAATGACAATCTTTTTATTCTACTTCACCCTACATCAAAAGCACTCCCAGGATTATGAATGAATTTTTCACTGTATTAATAAAAGGCAAAATACCTTCCAAACATATGAACAATATTATGATGACCAGATTTTAAGCTAGGAAATACAAATTATTAGTATTTGAAATTAAAATACTATTATGGTGTTAACTTGAATTCTGTATTCTACAGTGTACTCATTAAGGGGTTTTCAGAGAGGAAGAAACAATGGAATTGTTTAGCTCACAGCACCTTGGAGGCCACAAAATTCACAATCTGCCTACCATCTGCAAAATGGAGAGCCAGAAAAGCCAGTAGAGTATAATTCAGTCAAGGCCTGAAAAGTACAAGACAGGAATGGAGACAAATCTCTTGAGTCACAGTTTAAATCCAAAGATCAGAAATATTAAGTGTTGTTATCCATCTGAGGTCAGGAAAAGATGGAAGCCCTAGTTCAAATCAAAGCAAATGTACAATCCAGTGTTATTTGCCTTTATCAGACCCTCAATAAACTGGATAATGCTGTCTTGTTGAAGGCAATTTTTATTCTCAGCCCACCTCTTTGACTATTTTCAAAGCAAGAAAGTTAACAGGGTGGTAATTTTAATTCCTTATATTGTTAAAAATCTAACCCCCCCACATTAGAGGACTTTCACTTGAAATTTTAAAGAATGAGTTTATATTTACCCTAAGCCACAATCAAATATATTCTCTAGTCATATGTATGAATATTTATATTGGATAAAAGTTTTTAGAGGCTAATTTTTAGTAATGTTTTATTAAGCTTAAAATACGGATGGAAATACCTCCAAATTTAAGACAGCAGAATGCACTTAAAAACGGCATTTATACTGTATTTTTACTGTATCTATCACTGAGCCACCTTCCCAGCCCCTACTATACCTTTTATCATCAGTAATTCAGGACTAAGTTAAAATATTTACTGATAAGCCAGACTACTTCATATCTTGGTTATAATTATTTTTAGAGACACATTAGGACAATTCATTTACCTTTAACATTATGTGTGTTGGTCCTAGATTGAACTTGGGGCCTGGGTGCTATCCCTGAGATTGAACTTGGGGCCTGGGTGCTATCCCTGAGGTTAAACTTGGGGCCTGGGTGCTATCCCTGAGCTGCTTTGCTCCAGGCTAGTACTCTTCCACTTGAGCCATAGCTCTGCTTCTGGCTTTTTGTGGTCAATTGGAGTCATGGAGTTCAAAGGCTGGCTTTGAACTGAAATTCTCACAACTCAAGTCTCCTGAGTAGCTGGGAGTACAGGCATTAGCCACTAGTGCCCAACTAAAATTAACTTTTTTTTTTTTTTGGTTCCAGTCGTGGGGCCTGAACTCTGGGCCTGGGCACTGTCCCTCAGCTCTTCAGCTCAAGGCTAGCGCTCTACCACTTGAGCATAGCGCCACTTCCGGCTTTTTTCTTTTTGCTTATGTGGTGCTGAGGAATTGAACCCAGGGCCTTAGGCATGCAAGGCAAGCGCTCTACCACTGAGCTACCTTCCCAGCCCTAAAATTAACTCTTAAAGTTAAAAATTCAATGACATCTAGCAGATTTCATCACCACCTCCCAAAATCCCATGTTCATAAGCACTCATTCCCCAATCCCTAATACCTAGCAGTAAGATACGGATTTGCTTTTCAGTTTTTTTCACTTAGTACAATGTTTTCACCAGTCAAAATAGAGGTAATTTTGTGTCACTATTTTGTTCTTAATTATACTATTCTATGTTATTCATCTATATTCTATCTACTCATCAGCTGATGGGCATTTGGGTTGTTCTTATTTTTGGATATTATAACTCTTAGCACTCAACATTCATGTGAAAATATTCATGTGGAAAAATGTGCTAATTTTTATCCCAAATATTTATGCATGGTCCACTATATCCTGAAACTATTAATTTCAGTTAAAAATTATGTTCTTATTATAATTCTCTATCTCCTTTCCTTCTTCTCCCTCCCTCCTTCCTGGTCAGATTCTACCAGGCTAGACTTGAACTTGAAATCCTCCTCTTCAATCTCCCAAAGTGCTGGCATTAAAGGCATATCACATCACATCTGACCAAAAAGTAGTCTTCCTAAAGAATATTATTTTGCAAAAATGATATTTTGAACTGGTTTAAGCATATAAATTGGCAACTGTCAAGCATGCACTAGGCTTTAAATTCAAACTTCAGTGCTGCCCACTACAAAATTTGTTTTTTTTAATGCAAATCATATGAACTAATGTGTTTGATTTAGGCTCCCAAATTACTTATTCCTAGTGAATATGTAAATATACATTTTAAGTATCTTGATTTCAGTATTTACAATTCAGTTTAACTAATAAGGATTAGGATATCGTTCAGTGGTAGAGCACTCCCCTACCATAAATAAGACCCTCAATTCCATTCCCAGCATAATAAAAACAAAACTTGATAAAACTGAATTGGTACAGATTGAGTAAAATTGAAAATGGCACATACTGGGTTACAACTTGAGTGTCCTTAGCAAATTATAAAATTCTACCCAAATTTACAGACACAGGAAAACAGAAAAACACTAATAAGTATATATACATTATATTTATTTATAAGTACATTTTAACTAATTTTATTCAAGCTTCATAACAACAATGTGGTCTTACTAAACAATATATGTAACGTTAGGACCCTGGTATATCTTCTTTTCAGATTAGTTATTTGCCAATTTCAAGGTAATCTTCTTACTCATATAACACTAGATATAAAAAGTGTTAAAATATTGAAGCTAATTCTTGCCTGTTTCATCAAGGCTCCCAGGCTATGTTCTTAAGCCTTAGCAAAATGTGAAGAGAAATGTAAATCCACTAATGCAAATACAACCAAGTAAACATAAAGCCTAAGTGATCAGTGAACTCAATCCTTTATCAGTGTCAAAATTGGGCTTGGGATTACACCATTACTTGCCTCCATAAACATGGATAATCTACACCTTCATATTTTATAGTTTGTGTTATGAATTAATTTCTCATCTTTCAGGTTTAATTTTAAGAGGCCAATTCTCAACACGTTATCCAATGTCTCTGGATACTGAACTCTAGGGCTCAAGCAATCCTATTCTATTCTCTCTTGTAGCTGGAAGCATTTGCATGCATCACTATGTCGTGTTGTATTCATTTCTATAAAAGAAAACTATTTTTTAGCTCTTGTAGTCAAAGGTAAAACTGGAAAGAATAGAGAAAGGCTTTTGGAAAATCACTTAGCCATTAAGAGTTTTATTTGAAATATTAATATAACATACATGTTATTAAGTAGCAAAATATGTGTTGCAGTAATGGGAAAATAATATTGTCTAATAAAGAGCTCAAAGGGCTGGGAAGGTGGCTCAGTGGTAGAGCGCTTGCCTTGCATGCATGAGGTCCTGGGTTCAATTCCTCAGCACCACATAAGCAAAAAGAAAAAAGCCGGAAGTGGTGCTGTGGCTCAAGTGGTAGAGCACTAGCCTTGAGCTTAAGAGCTGAGGGACAGTGCCCAAACCCAGAGTTCAGGCCCCACGACCGGACCCCCCCCCAAAAAAAAATAAACAAAATAAAGGGCTCAAAATAATCAAATGCCTTAGTAGCTGAAGAGTGTGAGCTTTGAGGTCTGACTAAGTAAGTTTAAATCCTGCCTCCACTACTTCCTAGGTGTATAAACTTGAATATTTTCACCTGAGATAATGATTTTCATCTGAGATAATGTTCTTAGCAGCGCTTTAGTTACATTAAAAAAAGTTGAAAATTTATGTAACATTTAAATTTCTTTTGTCCTTATTTTCATTTTGTACTTCTTCAACAAATATTTACAAAGACATGATAAATGTGATACAATAAAACCAACTTACCTATAATGCTTGAGAAATGAATTATTCTGTTCATTCTCAATAGTATACCTTCATAGGTACTCAAAGAAAAAGTCGACAAATGGGCATAAATCATTTGTGTACCAGTTGTGGAAACCCATTGTGCAAACTTACTACATACATAAACTCATTACATACATAAAAACCAAAAATCTGGTCTTTACAGCAAGTGCTAGATCTTACTTTGTTAAGGAGGCACATACTTAATTTTGATACATTTCCAATGTCTTCATCTGGAATATAATACATTTCAGTATATATGAATAAAACACCCTGAGAAGGGTCTATGGCTTTAGCACACTGCCCATGTGGTTTGTAGTACAAAAACGTTTAAAACTTTAAGCTCAAATTTGTCTATTAATGCATAACAGTAATGTCCCGTTTGTTTTTTTATACCTAAGCTTGTTTATATTAGGAGAATCCATGTTTGGTTTCTTTGAAGTTGTTCTTTGTGGATCTTCCTGGATATTATGAGTCCCCTTTAGATCTGTGAGAACATTATCACTGTACCTAGTTTCTGAAAGAACAAAAGAGATGAGAGAAAAATAAGTTAAATAAATTAGATTCAGACAGCATTTAAGAGAGAAATATAGAACGTTATTCTATGAAACACCATTCAATAAATACTCTGAATTTCATGATTTCAAATTCTACTCTTACCACTGACCAGCTGTGTCACCTTGGGACAGTAACTTAATCTGTGCCTCAGTTCCTTTGCCAGAGGGAACTAATAAGCATAAAACCTGGTACTTGGTTCACTTCCATAAAAACTTCCTAAGCCTATTACTACTGTAAATTTATTTCACTCGGACAGTTAACGTCTGAGCGGCTGCCTGAATAACTTTTTTTATACAGCACTGTGGTCTACACTATCCTTTCACATTATGACATTTAAACCACATAACTGTGAGAAAAGACAACTATTATTACATCTAGTTTAGTGAAGAAACAATCAGAGTAGATGAATAACCAGGCCAATAACACAAATGGGAAGCGTTAAGCAAGAACTTAAATCTGGCTTTCTCTCCACCCTAATGCCTAATCCTGGGCTTTTACTGTAATAAGGTAGCAAAGAGATAGAACAATGGATTGTTCAGGGAGAAGAAAGGCGGCAGAGGCCTCCAGCAGACCATGAGGGGAGCGGAGCACTCGTTTGCTAACGGTTCTGGTTACGAAAGAAAACGATCAGCCTAACCTGGCTTACTACATTCAAAACCCCCACGAGGAGCAGATCTTCAGGTGATTTCAGTGAGCACCGGCTGCACAGCAAGGCTTCGCTAGCGTCTGGGAACGGACACTGACGGACTAAGCCAGGGCAAGGCCATTTGTATCTGATTTTTTAAAAAGGTTTATTTTCCGTGTAAACCTGGGAAGACTTCCGCTCCGCTAAGTGACGCCAGACTCCTGTTTCTACGTAAAGGTCTCACCACCTTTTGGCCTTTTGAAAGGCAGGACTTGGAGAACCGAACCGGCATCTCGCAACCTTCGGCCCGACCCGGAAGACGCAAGCGATCCCGCTGGGCCCCCGGCCGGTCCCGGGTCCTTCCCGACCCCGAGCCGCCTCGGTGACGGTTCGGGCCTTTCTGGCGCAGGAACCGGGACGCAGCGCCGAGAGGAAGGGCCGAGCGCCGCGCTCCGCACCTGACCTGTCCGGACGCTGACGGGAGCGCCGACACACGCAGCCCGCCCCCGCGCGCCGCCGGGCTTCGTCCCGGGTTACTCTAAGGACCGGCGGCCGGCCTCGCCTTTCCGGTCGGCCCGGGTCCAACGAGCACGTGGGGCCGCCATCCGCGGCCGGCCCGGGTCCACTTTAGAACTCTTCCTACGTGGAGACGCCCCTCCCCGGGCGCCCCGTCCCGCCGGAGCCCTCACCGCCCGGCTCAGCCCCGACTAGCGGCATCCCGTCATTGACCTCCGGCCACTCCCGGCGCACTCCCGGCCGGGGGCGTGAGTGACGGCTGAGGCGGCGCGCGCCGGGGCCAGTGGGAGGAATTCCATTTCCGCCCCCTCCCTCCCGCATCGGCACCCAGGGGCGGCGCTTCCACCGCGGCGGCACGCCCAATGCGAGCCGGCCTCCCCGGGCGTCTCGCGAGAGTCTGCGGCTTGGTGGGCGGGCCCCGGCCAGGAAGAGCGCACAAAACTTGGGACTTAAAGTCACTGCAGAGCCCCAGCTCCGGTTAGCCGGCCACGAGGTTCTCGCGAGATCCGCCTCGACACCAAGTGAGGAACTTGGGGGGACGCTATTGGGAGGGGCGTGGGGCTCTCTACCGCGCAGCTGCCGCTCTTCCATTACCTTCTTCCCACGGTCTCCTTCCGGTTCTCGATGCTTCTCTGGGCCTAAGGGTTTCCGCCGCCGGCTTCCCCTCCCCCTCCTCATCCACAGCCCGCCTCCGTCCCCCGCCCTTCCAGTCCAACCTCGGAAGTGTTTTGTCAGAAGGTGCTGTTCCGAGAAGGAGAAGGGAACGCGAATACCGGGGGAGGGGGTGGCCGGGACTCCGCCCGGCCGGGACGTGGGACGCAAACCGTCCCCCTTCCGCCGGGGAGGCGCTGCGCGCGGCGCGGCGTTGGCGGACGGATCCGGGCGGTGAGGAGGCCGGGGGGAGGGGCGGAGCGTGGCAGCTGGCAGTAGTTCCGTCAGAGCGGACATCTTGTGGCTGTGTCGTGCGCGTGAGCCCCTTCGGGCCGGGGAGGCACCAGCTGCCGCGCGGGGAGGAGGCCGAGGCCGCTGCTCCAGGGAGGCCCCGGCCCCTCTGTACGCGCGGGTGCGGACAGCCCGGGGAGGAAGGGAGGACGGGGGGGGGGGGCCGGGGCCGGTGGGGTACGCGGGGCAGCGCCGCGGCCGCGGTGGCCAGCCTGCCGGGCTGGGTGGGGTAGGGCGTGAAGCCGCGAGCCGCCGGGCCGCCCCGCTCCAGGGGAGGGGGAATGGGCGCGTCCTCGCGCGGGCGCCGGCCCTGGAGGGGCCGCCGGGCGCGTGGCGGCGGCGGCGGCGGTCGGGGCCGGCCGGCCGCGCGGGAGCGCGCTGGAAGGCGGTGTGTACGGTGGCGTCAGGGCGACCCAGAATCGCCCCAGTTGCGGGGACGGCGGTCCACTGGGAGCCTCTTCCTCCTCGGTGTCCTCCCGGCCGGAGCTGGGAGCAGAAACCGAAAGCGGCCCGGCAGGCTCCCCCTCCCCCTGCCTTTCTTTGCCCCGGTGACGCCGGCCTAGCGCCGACTAGGCCCGGCTCCTCCTCTGCCGGGCCCCGGCCCCGCACCCACCCCTTTCTCTCCCGAAGCCTCTTCCTCTGCCACCCTGCTCTCTTCCTTCCCCGAAGCCGGGAAGTTAAAACTTGTCGGCCACCCGCCCGTCCGCCCTTGCCCGTCACCCTCGCCCCTATTTTGCGCGAAGCCCGGCCACGGCGGGTGTCGGTGGCCCTGCCACCCCACCCACCCCAGAAACCGACCGTTCTAAGGGACTCGGATTCAGCAGGGGTCTCCGGGGCCCGTGGCGAGTGGCTGATCTGATCCGTTTTTGCAAAAGGCGCCTGTGTCTGGCAGAACCAGTGAGAGACGAAGATACAGTCCTTCCCCCAGCCGCCCGGATAATCAAGAGTTTTGGCCGGACCCTTTGAGCACACACCGAGATAGAGTGAGGAGCCAAGCGAAAAGCACAGACTATGGCGCTGAAACGGATTAATAAGGTACCCTGCTGGACTGGAAGGGATTGGAGGGGCGTGGGAGGGAAGTGAGATTCTGAGAATCTCTCTCCTTGATCGCATCTTCCTTCGGGAGATGATAGTGAACGCGGGTGTGTGCGCTTCATGAAATGGGGTTTAAAGTTGGGGGGGGGGGCAGAATACTTGTGGCCAGAGACGCGTTAACCTGAGTGTTTACGTTGGAATTGCTGCAAATTGTGGGTAAAAGAGAACGAATTTAGGCGCCTCGGTTTTCTGTTTAAAGAAGAGCTAATCCGGTTTGGGGAATTATGGAGGCACACTCTGGCAGATGTCATGGAGATTCCTTTTCATAGTTTGTTTTAGCAGCAGATCAAGGCCATGGGTCTTTTTCTTTTTTCTAAAAGTGAAAAGAACAAAACTCGGAATACAGGGTCTGGGGGCTTAGTGAGAGTAGAAACGTCTGGCCTTTAAAGGATCATGAATCAGTACTCAGAAACTTGATGTGTTTGGGCTGGTTACTTCGGAATAAGTGGGGAGGTGGTGGAGTCAAACAGTGTTGCCACTTGTATGTTTTGTAATGCAGCTTTCACCCGAAGCTTTTTTTCAGACACTGGGAACGGATGTAAATGCTTTCTGGAAGCTCCACTTCTCTTTTTGGCTGGGGAGGGAGGGTAGGATGGCATTAAGTGAAGGCTAGGTGTCTACCTATTTTTTGCTTAGGCATATTTAATAACGCTCTCAAGGAGAATTGTCTCGGGACTTAAAATATGGTTTGATAGTAAATTATTGATCTAAGTTGTTAAAAGGCTAGGATTTTTCGGAGCTGTGGGTGTGAGCGGAATCACCACCTCCGGTGGTTTAGTCTCATTTTCTTGCTCTTAACTTCTCTCCCGCATTTTAAGATGGCGGCTGCTTCAACTGGTTCAGGCTCTTTCCGGCATCTCCTTTCCTAATAAAATGTAATGTTCCTTGTTTAGTTTTAACTTTGTATCGGATCATACGGGACTCTAAGATCCCTATGTTCAAGATTTACAAATTGAAAAATCTCAAAATGTGTCCCCTCCCCCCCTTTTTTTTAAAAAACTTGTGTGAGTGTGTGTGGTGTATTTGGTTCTTGCACAATCCAGGAGGGTGGAGTATTTACAGCTAACTTGAAAAAAATGTCATGAAATAAGTTCAGCCTTCCTAGAAAATACTAGACAGAGAAGGTTGTAAATTAGAAACGGGCTTAATAGGATACTTTTGGAAGTGAGTTCTGCAGAAGGATAGACCTGATGCTTAGTAAATTCAGTTGTTAAATGTGACTTAAACTTTAACTGGCCAAACTAGTGTTTGATGAAAGATGAAGACTTAAGTCTTTATTTTTAGGACGTGTGTATTGGCGATGTGATTTAGAAAGAATACTGATTCAAGTCTTTAATTTGGATATAGCAAAGCATAGGCAGAAGAACAGAATTTGAAACTTAAAAGGTATTTGGTTTTAAATACTCTGACCATGGGCATCATTGTATTTCCTAGCATACTTAGTACAGAGTACATTCAGTATAAATCCAAACCCTTTTTCTATGGAAATTATTTCTGGCCATTATGATATTAAATAATCTCAGATCCTTAGCTTTTTATGTGTGTAGACAAGAACACTATAGGAAGGTCTCATTGATTTCTTTTTCTTTTACAGGTGATACTCAGCCGCAGTGACATCACTTTAATGATTTAAAAGCTCTAGAGAGGCAATAATGGCTAAAGGGTGTGAACATAGGAGCAGAAAATGCTTCAGTTAGAATTTTCTAAGCAAGTTTATCAGCTTAAGATACTTGTTATATAAGAACAATACAGTTGTGAACCTAAATATCTTAGCCACTATTCTAAATATTTGGATGATAGCAATGAAAACACTTCCTGTATGTTCCAAGATTTTTTTTTTTTTTGAAAAATTGAGGGATGTGTAGCTCGGAACAGGCTCCTAGTAATGACATTTTAAATCATTGTTAAATATTTTAGTGTAATACTTAAAATGTTTCTTACCAAAGAACTTTGACTTGTAGTAGGGTAGTCACGATTGAAACTAGATTTTTTTTTTTGTTAACTTTCCTCTTAAAATGAGTTGGTGGTGTGTGATTTTTTTTTTTTTGTGTGTTACTAAATTATCTGATGCCTCAAGGAAACAATGTCTATATTCTTCACTAGTAGTTTGCTGGAATAATTTTAACCCTTAATAGTTTATATGCTCAAGAGGTTGAATTTTTCTTTTTTAATCTTTTTCCACTGTTCATTGCTTTTTTTTTTTTTTATAAGAAGACCACACTTTATTTTTATTTTTTTATTTTTTTTTTATTTTTTATTTTTGCTTATGTGGTGCTGAGGAATCGAACCCAGGGCCTCTGGCATGCAAGGCAAGCGCTCTACCACTGAGCCAACTTCCCAGCCCCTGTTCACTGCTTTTTATACCAATCAACCTTGCTTACTTGTCTTTTGTTGTATTGTGGGGGCAGTCTGGAGATTTGAATGGGGCTGTTTAAAAAAAAAAAAAGAGCTGTGGGCCATCCTGAAGGTAATCTTGGCTACTCAGGAGGCTGAGATCTGAGCAGTTTGAAGCCAGCCCAGGCTGGAAAGTCTATGAAACTCTTTTATCTTCAGAAAGCCAGGAATGGACCTGTGGTACAAGTGGTAGAGCACTAGCCTTGAGCAAAAAAAAAAAAAAAAAGATATTACCCAGGACCTGAGTTCAAGCTCCCAGACTGACTCTTCCCCCACCCCCAAATTAAAAAGGTCAAATTCCAAATTAGTGTTTGGATAGGTATAGACAAGATTAGCACTTCATTAAACAATGTGAATATATTTTACCTGTGTTTTGGGTGACTTTTGAAGAAAACTCTTATTGTATAAGTTCTTAACAGGAACCAGGTCTTAAAAAAAAAGTAGCTGATGGTTTTGTTTGCAGTGCTCTAGAACTATTTGAAACAATAACTTGGTTTAATCATTTTAACCTTAAAACAGTAGGTATTTCCATCTTGAAACCAGAAAAAGAAAACTAAGGCACAGAACGTTTAAAGGAAAAAAAAAAAAACTTGCATGTTGTAGCCGTTGGAATTAGAACCCAGACCATCTGACTCCAGAATCTGTTCTCTTAATACTATATTTTCATGTGACTAGGTTTTTGTCATAGACCATAGTTAAGCCTTTGTCTTGTGTTACCAAACACTATCTAAGGCATTTTGTTCATGGAGACACTTCATATTTAAGCAAGTGGGGCTTGGTTTTATTTTTAGGTTTTAGTTATTTTGTGAGTTAAAAACATGTTTGGATAGTCTCCTTTAAGGGTTAGAAACTCCCTGGTGCTAGTTAAGTGGTAGAAAAGAGGGTATCTTAAAGTGAACAAAACAAACTTATACTAGCTCTCAATGAGCCTGTAAACTGATAAGTCTTACGTGTAGGTTTTGTTTTGTTTTTGTGACTTTGATTATAGCTAATTTATTTTGTATGCTACTTGGGTGGCAGAGATGCTGATCATAAAATGAGCTCAATATTTAATGCAGGTTGACTAACACTTTTTTCACTGTGTTCATCTGCTGTGTTAATTCTGGTTTTTGTAACTCAGATAGGAAGTTCATTGTTCTTTCTAACACTAGGAAAAACTACTTCTGAAACTAGATTGTACTTCCAAGCTTTCTCCATTAATTCCTAGGTTCAGGTGTATATTATCCAGGATAAGTCAGTTCTTGAAGATTCTCCAAAGATGTTCTGTTATAATGATTCCTTACTATTAAGAACACAGGATCCTGATATTAGTGGCTACACCTATAAATCCTAGCTACTCAGGAGGCTGAGGTCTGACAATCTTGGTTTGAAGTCAACACAGGCAGAAAAGTCCATGAGAATTTACCTCCAACCTCTAATTAACAAAAAGCTGGAAATGGAGGTCTGGCTCATGTGGTAGAGTGCCAACCTCAAAGATAGCCAAGAGATGGCGACCCTCTTGTTCAAGCTCCCAGTACCAACACACCAAAAAAAGAAACTGTGATCCTAGCACTAAGACAGATGTTTTAGAATAGTTTCTCACATCATAGGTTGGCTTTTGTACTTGGTTTTTAAAATCGTGTTCAGATGGGATCTGGACCTAGTAATTTGTTTTTGGAAACAGGACTTTTAAATGTTAACTAGGTGATTTTGATGGCTCTGGTTAAGATGTTTTGTTTTGTGGATATTTGTTTAATCAATACTTGGATTATAAATTCAGTGTTGTATTCATTCCCAAGAGATTTTTTTTAATGACTCATTACCCATAAGAATATGCTGTCTGTGGAGAAAACAAGCATGAATGATGTTTGTCATTTTGTATAACTTAGTATTGGAGAATGTAAGTCTTGGAAATAATTAGAGGGAATTAAAAGTACCAACATTCATACTCTGGGCTTGGGCGCTGTCCCTGCGCTCTTCAGCTCAAGGCGAGCGCTCTACCGCTTGAGCCACAGCGCCGCTTCTGGTTTCACGGCTTTCCTGCCCCGGCTGGCTTTGAACTGCAATCCTCAGATCTCAGCCTCCTGAGTAGCTAGGATTACAGGCATGAGCCACCGGCGCCCAGCCTCATTACTAAAGCTTTGTATAAATAACTTCTGCATTTTCATGTTTGTATTTTGATGCTGAATGGGGTTTGAACTCATGACCTAGGTGCTGTACCCTTGTTTGCTCAAGGCTGGCATTCTACCACTAGAGCCTGACTTTTTTTAACTATGGATTATCTTTTTTTTAAATAAGTTTTTTATTGTGAAAATAACTGAACAGAGGGTTTACAATTACGTGAGCAAGGTAATGAGTACATTTCTTATCAAGCATTGTAGCTTCCTCCTCTGGTTTTCCCCTTCCATGCCTTCCACCTCCACAATTGCACTCATTATGTTTTATCTGTGCTCATCCTGAAGCTTGAACTCAGGACCTAAGTACTGTCTCTATTCTCAGTATCCTGAAGTAGCTAGGCGTGAGCTACTGGCACCTGCCTTTGGAGTACTTTATACATGGTTTAAAAA